CCCTTTTGGTTTAACGTGCAGTTGGTATCTAGTGCATAAATATTACATCGCTTAGCTAGCTAGCTAGTTATCTTATTCTTTGCGTAGATTGCCTTTACACTGAACAGTGAACATTTAGGAAATATCTGCAATGGTTTAAGACATCTTTGTGACTTTAAAAGACAGTTTTCTTGAAGTGGTTCCATTAGAAGCATCTTTCAGCCAGCCCAGTCAGGGCCACATGTACCAGTATACGATCTTAGGCAAAGTTGTCAGGTAAATTTGAAAGCTTGACGATGATGGTAAAGTATCAAACTATCAATTGCTTCTAAAATTGTGTTTGCATATACTAATTTTGTACTATCAAACAACTGATAGTTTGATACTTTACCATCATCATCACTGATTACTGCATTCCAAGTTCATGCAACTCTTTTACGAAAGTTTTTAGTCCAGTAAGCAAAATTAGAAGCTCCTCCATTCCCCTCACATGGAATTTTATTAACATCACCAATATTTGTGCATCTATATCCCTGAGAAGCTCCTGGAATAGAAGGAATCATAGTCTCTCTAATCTCTGTGATGCCTACACGTGGACATACATGCTGATAAAGGACACCCATGCTGATAGAACCTTCATAAGTGTTAGCCGAACTAGGCAGAACTCAGGGAAACTTAGCTCCAAAACACAGAAGGGAAATAAAAGACAGTCGTTAGACAACTACGTTGAGCGCAGAAAGGGAAAGGTGAATTAATAAGAACTCGCAAGGCTTTCTGCAACAGCGGACTTCAGGGAAGTGGGGGAAAGGAGACGCTTTACCTAGCAATGCTTAGAAGTGCTGCTTCCTAGAACGAAATGTAATAGGGACAGTGTGTACAGCTCCGGAATTTGCTTCCCGTTTCCTCGTCTCCTGCCCTCCCTGCTCTCTAAAGCATAGCCAGGCTTTGTTCTCTGGCTTTCTGTCCACCCTGTCTCAGGTTGAAAAATCTCCTTTGTTTCTTATATTTTCTCAAGGAAATTTTCATTCCAAGGTTCCATGATCGTTTACTGAAAGTTAACCGATGGCTGAGGCACAGCTGAGCCCTAGTAGAGGTAACTGATATGGACTCACACTATAAATTACTCATCACGAGGAATACTCTGGACAGGAAATGGTTTGCAGTGACTGGTATCTCACCATCCGCAATTAGGAGCTGGCTGATGGCACCGAGTTCTGTATCTTAAATCATCTTCCACTGGGAGGACTGCGCAATGCCGGTGGTAGTTACCACACATCATCAGATCTTTTGGTAGATGATTTGGATTAAAGGTCTTGATTTCCCTACCCTGGTTTTGCAGTTTAAAATTTATTGAAGCTGTCCTTAACCTATACTTGACAATATAATTAGCCCAAATCTTTGCTTAGGACAGGTTCATTTTAAGATCATATCAATTTCATGGGATCTCAGATTTTCATAAGATCCTACAAAAGTCGCTGTCTCCCTAACTTCAGTAGGTGTGGAAGGAAACTTTTACCACCTCCACAAATAAGTACTAAGATGTTTACTTTTTTAAGCTGAATATGACTTACATGTGTATAACTTTAAAAAGGATTGGAAATAGAAATTTTTCCTTTGAAAGGAAATAGTAGTAGAGTTTATACTTGCTTACAAAATTAGTATATGTAAATACAATTTTAGAAGCAAAATATATTAATAGAAAAATAATTTAGCATCTAAAACAGCATGGTGTGTGTGTGTGTGTGTGTGTGTGTGTGTGTGTGTGTAGGTAATGGCCTTGGTTTCTGTTCTGTGTGGGACCATTTCTGACATAATATGCTGAGTTTTGAAATCCATATTTTAAGAGGTGTATTGACTGGCCACTGTGCACCCAGAGAGTAGGGTCATAATATTAAAATTCCAAACTATCTTTTATTATTTACTGAATAGAAGCCTTAATAGTGACCCACATGGGTGTCATGTATAAGATCTGAAAGATCTTTTTCTCCCATAATTTAAGATAACAGAAATAAGATTAGTGGGCAGAAATTTTGATTCAAGAAGCTTTAATTAAATAAGAATGCATGTGATTTTTTATTTGTGTTTCACCGTGTAAATCAGAAAAAGTTAACTAGAAGCTTATAATGGTGTTTGATATATAAATACAGTTTATGTCTTATTAATTTGGTAAGAGTGAGTGTTCATATTGGATTGGTGTTCACAGGGAAGTCACAGACAAATTTTGGGAGTCAGTTCTCTCCTCCTCCCATGTGTGCTTCAGGAATTAAAAGGCTTGTAATAGAAAGACTATCCCCAGAAATGAGTTTTGAAAGGTATGACTTCTTTGAAACCATTGGTTGTAACTTTTTCCAATAATTGAAAGATAAAAGAGAAGCATCTATGCCTTCTTACGATGATACTGGAGAAAAAGGCAGCAAGAGTTCAGAAATACACACACAAATGTACACACATGCACACACTCGATTGCACACACACTAAGCAGATACACATTCTTCTAGTAGTGTCAGGAAAATGCTGATTTTATAGGTAAACTTGCATTTATCGCTACTGCCTGCACCTTTGTGGACTTTGTTCTGTGTTTCAGAATAAGCACTAAGAGGACTGCAGCTACTAGCCTAAATATTTTTGAAGTTTTACAGAATCAACAGTTGTCATTAGCATGAACTATGTCCTTTTGAGTTTTTAATGGTGATTCTATGTTTTCCTCTCTTTTTTGAGGTAGTGATGGGAACCAGGATGCTCACACTCCTCCTATGGTCTATAGACAATTAGAAGTGATTTTAAAATTCTTAGTAGAGAAAGAGAAGAGATCGGTTAACACTTGTCATAGGGGAACACTGTATTTCAACTACAATATTCACAAAGCATCAACTCACAACACACCTAGTTCAGCACTCAGGGCACGTGAGATGCAAATGTTGGCAGCTAGCAAAGAAGAGAGGAAAGAACCATGACCACTCCCTCTTCTCCGAAATGGGCTGTTGGTGGGATAACTACCGTATCAGTGTGCTTTAATGGATTATATGCTGTATCTTGTTATCCCGTGTAATTTGCAATATGATATAAAATATTATATTGAATCAACTGAGGAAAATAATCTGCTTCTTAGGGACAAGTGGGCATACTTCAGCGATGAGTAGAGCTCTATTCCCCTTGGCATCAGATACTTCTTGTAATTTCGTTATCTCCTTATCAGATGTTACTACAGCTTCTACTAGTGCTGCCTGGTGCCTAGGGTTAAGAACTGCAGTAACTTTTTTTTAAAAAAATATTTATTTATTTATTATGTATACAATATTCTGTCTGTGTGTATGTCTGTAGGCCAGAAGAGAGCACCAGACCTCATTACAGATGGTTGTGAGCCACCATGTGGTTGCTGGGAATTGAACTCAGGACCTTTGGAAGAGCAGGCAATGCTCTTAACCACTGAGCCGTCTCTCCAGCCCCCTGCAGTAACTTTTAAGTGGTAGAAATACTTTGCCCACTGATAATGAATGCTATTTTTGATGCCTCCTCACGTAATTACATATCACAGCCAAGTTTTGTCCTTACTATGACGACAGCAGCTACACTATAGAATACTTGGATAATTTAATCTAAATAAAGAAAAGCCTTAGCTCCTAAAATAATGTACATGTAAATGACAGTACACCTATGGAAAAAGAAACTCTAAAACTTTGCAAAAAAATGTATTAGTAATAAAATTAAGATCCCAATATTTAGGCAGAACATCACACTGTCGTTTAAAAATTTGAAGACATGATGTTTTTCATAATATACTTAAACCTCCTTCAGGTATTTCTTAGAAATAATACCTGTGTTTTCAAAAATGCTTATAAACTGTTGCTAAGTAAATTTAATAACTATTTCACGGAAGTAGAGCAGGTCACAGCATTGTTAGCTTGTTTGGAGCTGCCTGAGTCTGGACTGTTGGGAGCCAGGGTGAATTCCTAGACTGAAGTAAACAGACAAGGGATTACTGAGAATGCTTGAAACCCCCATAGAGCATCTTCTAGCTGGTGTGCTCTTCCCAGAGCAGAGGTGTCAGTGCAATGACCAAGAATTCCAGTAATGGAACCTGATAGGCATCTGCTGAAAATGTGCCCATGGCAAGGGCCATGTGGAAAGGGAACTGTTTTATGTGGAATTGCCTTTGGTATGACTTCAGAATTGACCTCGCAGCAGTCAACAGATATAGATAAGGAAATAAGCATGTCTATAACGTGGTAAGACTATGCATATGTGCATATGTGATATCTCATGTTAGGTAAGAAGACACTTACACACTACTATTAAGTTGGTTGTCAGAGACCATGTAGGGAAGTCGGACATTGACCACAGCTGAGGGAGAAGAGTCTGAAGGCCAGTTATTGTGTGTCCATTCATTTAAGATAGTTACAAGAATAGTAACTCGCTGATAAGTTTGTTCAGAAAATGATGTCTACCCCATAAAAAGCATTTATTAATTTGCCCAGATGTTTTAAAGCAAAAAAAAAAGAAAGGAAGGGAGAGAGAGAGAGAGAGAGAGAGAGAGAGAGAGAGAGAGAGAGAGGGAGGGAGGAAGGAAGGGAGAGAGAGGAAAGAGATTAGTAAATAGCATATAGAATACACATTGAGCATGCGCTGGACATCTCAGGCGATACTGTAAGGTGGATGACACTGGGACTGTGAGACTAGTACTTAGCATCTCAGGGCCTCCGGTCCTTTATCTTAAAATTTGAGGTGATTGTTCTGGTGTTGTGACCTGTCAAAAAGTTGAAAGACCCTGCATGTGACAGATATCCAGAAAAAAAGTTACCTTACCTCATAACACTGCAGCTTCCCGAACACTTGGGTGGCAGAGGCTGACGATTCTCTGTGAGTTTGAGGCAAGCCTGGTCTACAAAACAAGTTCCAGGGCAGCCAGGAATCTCTGTCTCAAAAAAACAATCAACAAACACAGAAGGTGTGTGTGGGTGTGTGTGGGGGTATTTCTTATTATTACTTGTGGCTAATGGGATTTATTTTGGTTACTCTTTTAGGGTGAAAATGGCATCCATGGTCTTCCAGGCTTACTTGGTCAAAAGGTAATGGGTTTTATAAATGTTTCCCACAAACTAAGCTAATAAATCCATCTTTCCAAGGAGGACTTGTAGAAGCATTTCCTTCTCAGGGACCTCTCAAGGAAGCGTTTGTTCCAGGGTGTTAGCAGCATGCCGTCCTGAGGAATCAGTAGAGATGCCTTCTAAAGGCCATGGAGGTGTTACAACTGCACCAGAAACATGTTGACCGTTATCAGTTGGAGTGAACAATGGAACAGTGTGTTCTGCTTGTCATTTCTGACGTGCATGTGTTGTGCTTCTCAGATTGAGTTAAGCAAAAATGTTTGTGATGTCATAGAATATCTAACAGTACAAGGATCACACGCAACTAAGCTCTTCAAAACACACCTGTCTGCTTTTGTCTGGCAGCACAAGCCGAGAATCTTAGCTGCTCAGAAGGCTGAAGCAGGAATATTGCAGGTCCACAGCCTGCCAGCCTGTAGAGGCTAGCATGGACAACGTAGTGAGATCATGTCTCAAAAGAAAAAGGAAAAAGAGGACTGGAGAAATAGTCCAGTCTGGAGTGCTTGCTTAGCTCAGATGAGGCTGTCGACTTGATCCTCTATAAATAATAATAATAACAATAATAATAAACCCTACATTAATACTAATAATGAAGGAGAACTTTGTCACCACCTAGTCTGAGTCTTGGCCTCACATCTTTCTCATCACCAAGATGAACTTCCTCTGGATTCTTTACTACCTATCCGAGGACGGCTTTCTCTCTCTGGGAACAACAATATGGGCCGAGCATCACTGGGTGTACAGGAGCTACTATACTTCATAGATTCCTGGAATGAAAAGGAGTCGCTTCCAGTGGGGCCAGCTGTTGTGATACAGCCCAGAAAATCACACCACAGGGGAGAGCATTATTGATGCAATTTTAGATGCCCCCCAAAGCCAAAGCTGTCATTTCAACATCGTGGCGAAACATTATAGGATTTAATAACAGAAAGCCTGAAGTCGCTACGCATCTACGCTTTGCTTTTCCGTAGCCCGAAATGCCATTTGAAAAGTCATACTTTCATATAGAGTTGGAGCTTTAAAAAACTGTTTCTTTACCTAGCCCCGTAGAGATAATAAGACTGTACTGGGAGCCATGAAATCGTACACTTCCCAGCAGTTCTCTGCAAACCCCACTGGTACAGCATGTGCCGCATCTGCGATCTGAGCTGCAAGCCAAGGATGTGCAGATTTATCTGCTGGGAAATGGTTTTGGACTTTCCAGCAGCTGTTTGTGGTGGCTGCATCATGCTGACATCGTGGCCAGTGCGCTACGGGCTTTAGCAGCTTCAATGTCAGCTTGAATTACCAGACGGAGTTCAAGTCTTTATTTCAGGGGAAACACTATTAAAAGTAAGGTAGGCCCGCGCATTAGTGATAAAAAGTCCCTGTGAATTAACATATTGTTTGCTAGTGATATTTGGAGAATAAAGGAAGCAGAAGATAATTATTTAATCAAGTTTCTACACTCATTATATACATTTATTTGACTCTGCAAGTACTAATATACTCATAAATTATCTATGTATAGATAACAAGAGCTTACCTTCTAATCTATATAATACATGTGAATTTTAATTATGTCATACGGCATTTTGTAGAGGCAGTACAAAAAAGTTGATATCAGAAACTTTTCATTTGTTGCTAGGTGTGATGGCATGTGCTTATTTGTTATCTCAGCGCTTCTGTGACAGAGACAGGATCATCAGGAGGTCAAGGTCATTATGGGCTACATAGTGAACTTAAGGACAATCTGACCCACACCACATTTTATCCTTAAAAACTTAAATAGAAAAATAAAACAGGCAAACGTAAATATTGGCCTCCTATGAGGATACTGGCTGGATGCCTTATGCCATGACCTGCTATGGGAGTTCCTTCCGCTCCTTCAGCCAATCACTGCTGAGTTACCAGCCCATTGGGGCGTGGTCTCTCTCTCTTTAAAAAAAGCAGCGGCTGTCCTCCACTCCCTCTTTGGCTTCCGGCTCCGCTTCCGGCTCCTAGACTCCTTTCCTGTTCGCTCAGAGGGGCTGAGCTGGAAGCCAAAGAGGGAGTGGAGGACAGCCGCTGCTTTTTTTAAAGAGAGACAGACCACGCCCCAATGGGCTGGTAACTCAGCGGCGATTGGCTGATGGAGCGGTGTAATGAGGGGCTGCAGGCAGGCCTGCTTTTCGCCTCACCCAGCTCCCGCAAGGCTAGCTTAGTCCCAGAAATAACAACACACAGATTGTATTCATTTAAGCACTGCCTGGCCCATTATCTCTAGAGAGTTAGTTACTGACTAACTCTCATATCTTGATATTAACCCATTTCTAATAATCTGTAGCACCACGAGGTGGTGGCTTACCGGGAAAGATTCAGCATGTCTGACCTGGTGGCTGGCTCCATGGCTTCTGGCTCATAGCCCTCTTCCCAGCATTCTGTTCTGTTTACTCCGCCTACCTAATTTTCTGTCCTATCAAGGGGCCAAGGCAGTCTCTTTATTGACCAATGAAAATAACACAATAGACAGATAACCCTCCTCCATCAGAGCGGAAGGAACTCCCACAGCAATGACCCCCAGTTAATGAGTGGACGACAGATATAACCCATCATACCATAGATCCCTGACGTGCAGGAGGCTCTCAGTCAGCATTTACTAAATGTTTGGTGGGAACCTCATCAACATATTCATGTCAAATTAGTAAAAAAATAAATTTATGAAATTGGAAAGGGTTCAGCTGAGGAAAAAACACTTGCACTTTGTAGATTTAGAGGATGGCATAGAAAACAGGGTTTTCTTTGTCTTTTTGTTTTTATTTTTTTAGACCAGGTGATACAGAATTGTCTTTGTTATTCATTCAGTTGCAAGATATAGTCAGGAATAGGAATCATTCTATATACAAAACACACATTTGACACCATGCATGTCTGCCAGGTGCTCAAGCATGAGGTAATGGAGAAATTGATCAATTATTGATTAGAAATATGCTGAAGGACTCAGATTTTTTTTCTTTTTCTTTTACTTTGCTAGTCCTTTTTTAATTCTATTTTTAATTTATTTATTTTGAATTTTTATTTTTTTAAAGAAAATAAACTATCTTTTTTGATTATACATACAATCCAAGTTCCCACTTCTTCCCTCCTCCCATTCCCCTCTCATACCCTCCCACCCCACCCCCATCCAATCCTCAGAGAGGGTAAGGCACATTGCTTTGGGGAAGGTCCAAGTCCCTCCCTACTATATATAGGCTGAGAAAGGTATCATTCAAAGAGAATAGGTTCCGCAAAAGCCAGTACATGCAGTAGGGATAAATCCTGGTGCCACGCCAGTGCCCCCTGCCCCACCCCAGTCTGCCCCAGCAATGCAACTGTCATCCACATTCAGAGGGACTAGTTTGGTGCTATGCTGTTCCTTCCCAGTCTGGCTGGAGTTGGTGAGCTTCCATTAGCTCAGGTAAACTGTTTCAGTGGGTGAACCCATCACGGTCTTGACTCCTTTGCTCAAATTCTCATTCCTCCCACTCTTCAACTGGACTTTGGGAGCTCAACCCAGTGCTCTGATGTAGGTCTCTGCCTTTGTTTACATCAGTTGCTGAATCAGTTCTATGGTGACATTTAAGATATTCATCAGTCTGACCACAAGACAATGCCAGTTTGGGCACCCTATCCTCTATTGCTTAGGATCCTAGCTGGGATCAGCCTTGGGGATTCCTGGGAATTCCTCTAGTGCCAAATTTCTTGCTAGCCCCATAATGGCTCCCTCAATCAAGATCTCTCTTTCCTTGCTCTCATCTCCATCCTTCCTCCATATAGACTTAGAAAACAGTTCTTTTTTGTGACTGTAAATCACATGAGCAGAACGGAGAGTAACCTGTGGCTCCAGGTGCAGGGAAGTGCTGGGGTGGGGTAGGGGTCTCCAAGGTTCAACTCTAAACCCACTCATGAACCTCTCGTTAGATACTCATGTGGAAGGTAGGTTTCAAAGAAGTTTGTGTCATCTGGATTTAATGAGATGTTGCAAACTCAGTCTGTGCTGTTTTGTTCAGTTCTCAAAGCAAATCTAGACGATACCATTCTTTGACACTTAATGTGCAGGGGCCTTGAATTTATGGGGATGTAATCTTTTGGGAAGATAAGGAAATATCCAAAAAAACTGTTCCTTGAATATTTTGTACTATTCAGACTTTGCATTGTTTAGTGTTTGCTTAGAACTTCATATCGCAGGGAACTATTTAAATTGCTGATATTTTATTCTTAGAAATAATATTATTATTATGAAAATTCCATGAACCATAAGAACTGTTCTTATTACTTTACATGATGCTCTTCTTTTGCAGGGAGAACAAGGACTTGAAGGCACCAAAGGAGAAACTGGTGAAAAGGTAATCCTTTAGTGTTTATAAAGAAGAATTATGCTCCCCAAATAGTTTAATGTGACATTTAGCTTCTTTCATACGTTCTATACAGTATGTATAATAATTTTATAGTGAAACTAAAAACATTTGCATCAACTAGAGTAACTTTTATACATTGGTGATTGACAAAAATTGTTCTAAATTTACTTGGTCAGGCATCTTTAGTTACATTTATTACATTTATATATAAAAGATACAACTATTTATTGGAAATTGTATTTTTATATTATGGTGTCATTCATCCACTATGACTACGTCTCTGGCTAAAAGTTTTATTAACATGGACACTGGCTTATCAGTGGAATATTTTCTGAGGGGAAATTAAAAAAATAATAAGAAAAGAGCTGAATGCTACAGACAAGATAGCAAATACTACAATCAGAGTTATTTCAAAAGGTTGAGTATAGGGGTGATTAAAAGATGTGGGTGATGTGTAAGAAACTGACTCACAAGACTTTTAAATGCCTTGTGTTGCATTGCAGAAGACTCTTTGATCAATGCCACAAGGTTACAGATGCAAAGGCAGAGAAAAATGTGGGGAAGGCTTCAGACTGAAAGTACTTTTCCCAAGGCAGTCAGTCCCCAGTGAGAACCTTGGGAAGAAGTACCCCCACTCAGCCCTGGACTCCTCCTAGTGAAGCAAGCAAATCAGAGTCAGTCGGGTGTATGTAACCCATGGACCTGGGAACCCTGGGGCTCAAAGGAGTTTAGATACTGGTAGAGTGTAGTGCCTGAGGAACCAAGAACAGATATCATCCCTGTAACCCAAGGGTCAGCCCATCACCAGCTCACAAAATTGAACTATGCATTTTATACCTTTAAGCAGTGTTTTATTCTAAGCAATTATTACCGAGTCATCTTGTAGCCCTTGAAAAGCAGAACAATCTTTCCTGTACAAACAGGCTCTGCAGGTGGAAACGGTGCTCTCAAATCAGCCAGCGTTGCTGGCATCTAGCTTTCGGGCAGCGATCAGTTATTTGCCTCTCTTATAAGTATTTATAGAGACAATGATTATCTTTTATAATTACAGTACAAATTTCACATGTTGTATATTATTTCTACATAATAATTACTTTCCCTCCTGGAAGTTAGAGAGAGAGAAAAAAGGAGAAGATGGCCATATAATAACCGTGCAATTGAGGAAAAATCCATTAAAATTTTAACGACTTTTAATGGGTTTTTTTTTAGAAATTCTTGAACACTTTTGCTTTAGAATAATAGTTATTATCAAGCCGTGTCTCTAATTCTTATTTAGATGTATATTTTGGTTCATTAGTTGAATTTTATCCGTAGGAATGAATGAAACTAAGTAAGGCATAATATCCTTTCTATAATTTAGTCAACAATACCTCAAAACTTGGTTATTTTATTATTCTCTGAACATAGCTAATATTTTGTGGTATAAACAGATTCTCACAGACTGAACATGAACAAAATACATTATGTACATGCGTCATAATGCCGCAATGAAATTCATTACTGTGTATAATTAACATATGCTAATCAAACATTGAAAAAGAACACACATTCCATTTATTTTGCACCTAAGATTTTACTTCTGCTTCCTCATGTTTATTGAGTGTTGCATTCAAGCAACCAATTTCTACTGTAAGGCGGAAACAGTTATGGAGACTACCCTAAATATGGTAGAAAGAAATAAGCATCAAAGAGAAAGGACAGTGACTGTAATGAGAATCACAATCCTGATGGTTTATAGCCAGATTTAATATTCATGTAATCACCTTTAAGCTTAGAAGGTTTTACTTTGATTGCTATTTACAGTACATTAAATGATTCTTTTCAGTATTGCAAACTGTAAAAAGCTTTATATTTGATCCATAAATCATTTTCCATAGGATAAATAAATAAGGTCATGTGGTTGACTTTGGTTATGAGAAAAAGAAAGAAAAGTCTGTGACAGATCTCAATTTGGTGTGACAAGAGTCCAGTGTTCTTGGGTTGCTTGCAATGCATTTTTTCTGAACAAAATCAGCTAGCTACACTTCAATATCAATTCCTTGTGGAAGAATTAACATATAATTACTTTACAAACATCTTTCTTCTTAAACTATCATATTTTCTCCACTCCCATGTTTAAAATTTGATGATTCTGAGTGACAAAATTAAAATTTGAGACACAATACAATGATTGTGGACTAAATCATTCAGGAGATTATGAGGAATTTCACATCTATCAAGAACTCAAGGTTATGGTAAAAGATAATATTGACTCTGATGGATAGCATGCTCTGTGTTGATTTCCAGGTGTTGTTTCTATAGGCAATGGAAACCAAGTTCAGAAGTCTGCTATTTACTCATAGATAGACAATAAAACTTCAGCCTGATATACTCACTAGGAATGCCCAAGAGATTCCGCAAAAGTCCAGTTTACAGATGCACTGCTTTTAGTCCAAAAACTTTGATTTATGAAGTACTTGTCTGTTTGTACCTTGATATCCATAGGGTATTGGTTTGAAGACTCCTCTGAACAGGTCAAAAATCCACAGATATTCATGTACCGTATAGGAAATGCTATGTGTCTTATGTACATACTCATGAGTATTTTAATTGCCTCTAAATTATTTTATAATATTCAATACAATGCAAATGATATGTATATAGCTATTATACCCTAGGAAATGATGACAAGAGAAACACTGTGTTCTCAATACAGACACATATTAAACACTGCTTTGTCTATTCATTGAGAATTCATGAACACAATATATCCACCTACAACCCTCATAAAACGTTTCCCTCTGAACTTCATTCCCTCTCCTTTCCTCCCTCCCTCTCTCCCCTCTCCATCCTTTCCTTTCTTCCTTTCTTCCCTTCCTTCCTTCCCCCTTCCCTGCTTCCTTCCTTTTTCCCTCCTTTCTTTCTCCCTCCTTCCTTTTCTTCCTCTCTCCCTTTCTCCTTCCCTCTTCCTTCCTTCCTTCCCTCCGTCCTTCCATCCTTCTCCTTCCCTCCTCCCTCCCTCCCTTTTTCCTTCATCTCTCCCTCCCTTTCTCCCTTTCTCCCTTTCTCCCTCACTCCTTCCCTCCCTCATTCATCCTTCCTTCCTCCTTCCAATGCTTTCTTTTTTTCTTTGTTTCTTTCTTTCTTTGTTTGTTTCTTTCTTATAACTAATTAATCGAGGCTAATTAGTGCTTCTTATACGCACATGGTGTGGAGCCATCTACCAGAGCATAGGGAACCCACTAGTAGCCATATCCCCACGCCCCAGAAAAATAATAATTCTCCCCCAGTAACCACCAACTGTCGATAGCTCCTCAGTTATGAGTGGGGCCTCATGAGTGTTTTCCTCATTCATGCTGCAGTTTTGATAGTTTTGTTCTTGTGCTGTTCCTGGACAGGCAACCACTGTTGCCGTTATTCATGAGTGCAAGAACAATGTCATGTCAAGAAGATGGTACTTACAATACAGCATTGCTGATATAGTGGTGGGAAGAGCTGCCATTCAGAGATGGCACTTCACAGCACTCTCCCCTCTTCCCCATCCTCGAGCTCTCCCATGATGTTCTTGGACCATGTTGGGGAGGCTATATAGGTGTCTTCTCATTCCAGCTGAGCACTCATGTTTATGAACCTCTGCGTTAACTACTACCCACTGCAAAAGAAGCATCTTGGACCAAGGTGGGAAGTAGCCTAGATCTATGGGTATAAACAGAAATATTTAGAAGGTATTTTGACAATATAATCATTTAGCAAAACAATAGTGGCTCCCCTCTTCAGTCATTGGCTTTTGACTGTGTTTACAGTATCCATCATTAATTACTCCCCATGGAACAGGTATCAAATCCACCCAGACAGACATTGGGGACCTCTATGTGTCACTATTACACCAGTGTTACTTACTATCTTGCCTAATATATCCATACTGTAACTGTGGTGGTTTGGGTATCAGGGTAAATGTAGCCTCATAAAAAGTATTTGGCAATGTTCTTCTGTTTCTATTGTGTGGAACAATTTGAAGAGTACTGGTATTAATTAGTTCTTCTTTGAAAATCTTGTAGAATTCTGAGCTGAACCCATCTGGTCCTGGGCTTTTTTGATTGGGAAACTTTTGATGACTGTTTCCATTTCTTTAGCAGTTATAGGTCTTTTTAATTTGCTTATGTGGTCTTGATTTGATTTTTGTAAGTGATATTTATCCAGAAAGTTGTCCATTTCCTTTAAGTTTTCCAATTTTGTGGAGTACAGGTTTTTGAAATATGACCTATAGATCCTTGCATTTCCTCCATGTCTGCTGTGATGCCCCCCTCTCATTTCTGATTTTCTTAATTAGGTATTCTCTTTTTGCCTTTGGTTAATTTAGATAAAGATTTCTTTATTTTGTTGATTTTCTCAAAGAACCAACTCTTTGTCTCATTCATTCTTTATTGTTTTCTTTGTTTCTATTTTGTTGATATCAGCTATCAGTTTGATTACTTCCTTCCATCTAGTTCTCTTGGGTGAGTTTGTTTCTTTTTGTTCTAAGGGCTACAAATGTTCTGTTAATTCACTAGTGTGGGATTTTTCCAGCTTCCTCATGTAGGTATTTAATGCTATGAACTTTCCTCTTAACACTGCTTCATTGTGTCCCATAAAATTGGGTGTGTTGTGTGGTCGTTTTCATTGAGTTTTAGGAAGTCTTTAATTTCTTCCTTTATTTCTTCCTTGACTCATTGATGAATAAGGTGAGCATTGTTTAATTTCCATATGTTTGTGGGCATTCTGGAATTAGTGTTTTGAATTCTAGTTTTAAGTCATGGTGATCAGATAAGATACATTGGGTTATTCCATTTTTTGAAAATATTTGTTGAGGTTTGTTTTGTTACCGAGTATGTGGTCAGTTTTTGAGAAGGCTCCATGAGGTGCTGAGAAGAAGGCATATTCATTTTTTTTTGTTTGAGTGGAATATTCTAATGATGTCTGTTAAGTCCATTTGAGCCATAACACCTATTAGGTCTCTTAATTCTCTGTTA